GCCTGGTGTCCTGCGGTCTGCCTTGGTTTCTTTATTGGACGCTTAGCACGGATGTTGGCAACCTGTAGACGGCGCCGTATGGTCTGGGAGCTCACTGCCGTGTTGGTAGCAGCACGCAAACGATGCCAGATGCTGTTTACTGACATTGTCCTCTGTCGGAGGGCCTGTGTGCAGACGTATCGGCCCTCTCTCTGAGAGGTCTTCTTGAGTCGACCTGCACGTCGGCATTCTTAGACTGATCCAGTGGCTTGATGATGCTGCCTCATGTGACGCTGCAAGCCTTCTGGCAACTTCTCGGGCTCCAACTATTTCCTGCAGCTATGCCATAGCCTTGGTACAATCCAAAATCTCTCAGCTTTCGTCTTGGTGGCATGTTGATGCGATACCTACATTTTGCGCAAACGGCAGCTACATTGCCACCAAAGTGAGCACAGTTCGAGACCATACATCCGTTTATCACGTGCATCAGAAATTTTAACTGAGGAATGTCTGTGGTGTCGCACACAAGTCCATTTAGAAAGCAAATTGTGCTAAAATTCCCCACAGATTTTCGTGCTGCTCATAGTGGTTTTGCCCCTTTAGGAAGCTTTGCAGTATGCACTGTTAACCCATTAACACTCTCAGAGCAAAACATTTTCAAACATTCCTTGCTGTCTTTTTTTCTGATTTTTGAAAAAAAAATCAAGGCTGTCTGTCAAGTTGGTCTCTAACTTATGTTGAAGTCAGTAGAAAAGGCAGTTAAGTTTAGTATAATATAGATTGATACATGCCTGTTCGTATGAAATGTTAAACATATGAATATAAAGGATAGAAGCACAAATGTATGGAATAATTAAACAGAGACTAAGAGGACCCTGTAAGACCCTCTTGAAGTGTATGGTCAGTATAGTTCTCCAAATGTTGGGTATCATTGTGCTGTGTTGTTGTTTTTCTTTTTTTATTGTTCATAGCTCCCACATGCTCACTTTTTGTAACACACTGCATTAGTTTGAGGACATTGCTTGTCTTGACAGTTGTGTCCTGTGAAGAATAGGCAGGTAGAATAACTTTTTTTCTGTGTGTCTTTGTGACTGAAATAGTATTTTTTATTGCGTGTTAAGTACTCTAGTAAGTTATGAGTAGAAAGCTGAACAAAATGTGCTTTGTTTGAATAAGCGGACCACTGTTACATGTTGATTTATATGTCTATGGGTTATTTTCATTGTTTGTTTTTATTAATGTTTCACTTGGAGATGAGCTTTGATAGACCCACAGAAACCAGATATTGTTTTCAGAAAAAGAAGACTACCTTTTTCAATCCAATTCTATATAATATTATATATATTCAAACATTTACAAAGATAAAAGGTAGTTGATATGTTGAGGATATTACAGAGGTTAAGATATGGGATTTTTATGTTGGTCCAAGGTTGTAGTTACATGTTTCAAGTCAAGTGCTCTTTAAATATGATTAAATCGTTCGTACCACTGTTAATAGAGTCCTAGAAAACTGCTGATAGTCATGTATGTATTTAGATAGTGCATCTTGAAGAAATTCATAATTACCATATTTTTTGCCAGATATTACGATAATAAAAAAGTATTTTGATGCCTGATGATGACTGGCAAGTAGGTTGATCATTCAGCAGAAACTTGAAAAAAAAATTGTTGTTTATCAGTGTTAAATGTATAGAGAATCCAATAACCCCAAATACCTATAGCAGAGAATGCTGTATTGGAGAAATAAGTTAAGAGTGGGACAAGTTTCAGTTCAGATGATTGTGAGGCATTGAGAAATGTCTTCCGTTTTTTTGTGTGTGTGTACATTTTCAACGAAGAAGTGGCCAGTTTGTTTGAAAAGTTGTTGGACTTTGGTCTCAATCACTTTTTTTTCAGCCTGATAACAAAGTTTGAATACAACCTGGTACCTGTTTTTCAGGTTGCATCATAAAGTGTTTGTGTCTTAATTGTATACGGCTCTTGTGTTAACCTCACATGTTTGATGTATAGTGGATTTCATGTAGACGTTCTCCCCTCACATAACTTTTGTGTGTGGGTCAGTAATACTGATTAGTTTTGAGCCAAAATAAAAGCTGTTGCTGAGACTTTTCACGATTTGTTTGTTTCATTTCCTGATTAAATTTTGTTAAATGGGTGGTTGGCGGTTGGTCTGCTGTGGTTTTCTCCTTCTTTCCCGTCGCACATCTGTCATCCTTATCTCTCCTCCTTTTCTTTGAATGTTACTCTCTAGTAGGCTACATGTAACACTTCTAACCTTCAGTACTTATAGGGCATAAAGTTAATCAGTATTTTGTGCCATAGCTTGTGCGGAGGGTCGGTGATATATATATTCTTTTGAATAGTCTACTTCTTTTTCTTCAGTGTCACTATGTCCCATTCTGGTTCTGTCAAAACAAAGCTGTGAGTACATGTAGTAAGCAGGTGCTGCAGTTTGGTTTGCTCCTTCTTTCCTTTTCAACAATCGTCGTCCTTATCTCTCCTCCCTTTTTGTGTTTGTTACTCTCTTTTTTTTTTTAACATCTCTAATCTCCGGCTTCTATATGACCTTTATTGTGTTGCAAGTGCTGTAAAACACTTACTAAACCAGAACTGTGTTGATGTCTTGTGTGTCCACGTAGAAATAAATGAAGGATAACCTTAACCCTTTGGCTATTGCGTTGCTGTTATAGTCAAGGATCAAGCTGGGGTAGGCAAGTAATTTTATGTTTCTACATCATCATCAAAAAATCCTTTTTGCTTGTTGCTTTACTACAGGAGCTGGATCGTTGTACTCAAAGAACCGCCCCACCCCCTAAAAAAAGCGGGTGGTTGGCAGTTTGAGGGCGCCAGTGCCTACTTCTTTTCTTTCCCTCTGTTGTTTCTGTCTTTTTGTCTTGCTTCTTCCCTGCACTGATGCCTATCTCGCCGAGTGTGACGTCTGCAGCTTTTGACTTTGAAGTGATCTTGAAGATATTATGTTAAAGTCCTGATCCAGCAAAAAGCAGACCATCTAAGTGAGTTGAATTCTGGTACCCCTGAAAACATAAAAAAGGAAGCGCTGGTTGGTATGTGATTTTAAAATCCAACAGAAATGAAAATGGGCGAATGAATGAGGTACATGTATATAGGCCTAAAGATACACGCCATAGGTGGTTAGCTGAGGATGTGGTGTAGTTTGCTCCTTCTTCCCCATCATATTATTCTAATTCTGTCGTTCTTATCTCTCGTACAAAAAAAACAACAAAACAAAGAAGGAGGGAGAGTCTTTAGTAATAATTTGTCGTCAAACAATTGAGAAAAAATTGTTTATTATTTAGACGGCTCGACTTTTCACCCTAAAAGGCTTCTTCAGGAACGACTGAGAGTGAAACAATATTTGCCACACAGTGCTGCCTTTTCGTAAAAGTAAAAGGCAGCACTAGTTTGGCAAATAATATAGGGGAATTTTTTAAAAAATAGTCAATGATGTAATGAGATGGATAAGGGAGAAGAAAATGGGGTTGGGGGGGGGGGGTCGAAAAAGGTGGAGGGGAAACTGTAATACATGTGCTATGATTCTGAAATGGGGAGTCAGATTATGAGGTGAGCTTTGTTCAGGCGGAGAGAGGGGTATGGATGGAAAGGGTTACGGCGTGGGAAAGAGGGAGGGGGGGGGCGACGGAGTAAATAATTAAGTTATAAATCCAGATATTATTAGTTCTTTAAAGAGCTCGATCGGTGTTATAATAATAAAAGGCCAGAAAGCGTTTGATGTGGGCTAAAGTTCCGCATCCAAGTACATGTACGTTGTAGATTCTCTAATGTTAATTTAATTAATTTTTTTTTTCTGTCAGATTACCTGCGGTTGTTGAATCTGGATCTTAGGGTGAAGGTAGCTTTATTGGCCTGCATCCCGAACTGAGCATACTTTTCACGAAACAAGATAGAGGACGTTTCGTTTTTTTTAGTGTCACTAGCAGATTTTTTAAAAGGAGCTCTTTACATTGTTAGTTATAAATACTGTCATGCAAGAGCAAGTTTTGCTCCTGGTTTTGTTATACCGGTGATTCAGGGGGGGGGGGTGCTTAAGGTTAGGCCTACTTTGTTGGGATGGAAGAGGTGTCGTTCTAATCTCTCCTCCTAATTCTTTTCTTTGAATGTTACTCTCTATAGTAACTCCTCTGACCTTCAGCGATAATTTATATGACATTTATTCATATTGCAAGTGCCGCAAGCACTAAAAGTAAACAAAGGTTAGACGCCGGTTCAGTGTTTGGTCAATTGTTCCCCCCTGTAAACTACCTAAAATTATGTGTATAGACACACGTGCCACCATAAGCCATCCACTCGCTATTATTAAAGGCTATTTACCATACCAGCTCACAATTTAGTGGGTATTTTTTCCAAGGACATGAAACCTTTCTGAACGTCTCAGAAGATGAAATAGATATTAAAATAAAAATACCAAAGTGCATTATCTGTCTACTTTAAAAAAATTAAATTACAACGAGACATTCTCATTCAGAAATTTGACGCTGAAAACTGAACCGGTATCCATGACAACTGGCATAGATTATCTGATTCTTTTTAACATGGATTGATTTTAGCTTCCCACTGTTTTCAACCTAAAAGTTCCCCATATTACTTTTCAACTAACAGTCCTTATTGTGTGCATCTTGTGTAACCAGCAAGTTATTCTGCGTGTATTTCATGGAACTGGGAATTAAATGACCGTGGGTCCTCTGCTAAACTACATATATTATTATCACGTTTATACCCTGGGCTGTCTCTATCCATAGTATTGAATTTCATTTTGCCTTTCATACAAGAGCTCCTAATGTTGAAGCGAAGGGAATGACCCCAAGGACAAGTGGTTGTTGTGTTAGCACCAATCACAATTACAACAACATACTTCCAATAAAAATTCATTCGTTGTTGCTCACAACACTACTTTTATTTTAATCTCCTTGCTCACAATCTATAATATGTGTCGAAAATATAGTTGTACGGAATACGAATCAATACAAATTACTCTTCAACTCGAGAAACATAGAACCAAAGTAAACATTAAACATGGCGGATGCGGCGGCTCGGAGAGAAGAGAGACGGCGAAAAATTACTCAAAATGCAGAGGCCAGGATGAACAAGTTACTGGGAAAGCAAACAGCTGTTGGTAAGAATGTTTGGTCTGGCTTGTCATTAAAAATTGTGTGTAGTTCTAAATTTAGATCTTCTTGATTCTAGATCTAGATCTAGAGTACATCCTGTGGTGCGATATACAGTAAGCGATCTTTTGTGGATATCTCTGGAAGTTACAGGTCGATCTTCATGATTTTTTCACCAGAAGTTAGAAAAACTTCCTCTCTATACGGTGTAGCGCATTACTGTAACAGCAGTTTAAAATTTCTATATGTTGTGGTGGTGTTTGTTTGGTAACGTGTGTCTGGTTTGGTGCGCAAGGTTTCTGGTTTGGTGCAACATATCGTCTTGTTTGGTGCGCAATAGTACCATGTTTACAGCTCTAGATCTAGATCTAGCTCTTTTCTGACACTTTTCATCTTTCTCTATCCTTGCTTTGTCTTCTTTTCCTTGCAAGAAGTTCCTGTACTGACCATAATGGAAGGCCAAGGTCAATTAGGCGTGTTCTTTTTGGGAGCTGTGCGCCCCCTGACAGGAGATTTCCTTACACCTTGTGTATGTGTTTTGATAATGGATAAAAAGAAAGGTGCTGTGGACACAAGAAGGGGAAAGAAGAAAACAAGAATAAGACTATACCTAGACTAGTATTTTAGAAGGAAAAGGACAAAAAAGAAGAAGAAAAAGACGTGAAAAGAAGAAATTGAAAAAGAAAGGTGCTGTGGACACAAGGAAGTGAAAGAAGAAAACAAGAATTAGACTATACCTAGACTAGTATTCTTTAACTTTAAGGAAAAGGGCAAAAAAGAAGAAGAAAAAGACATGAAAAGAAGAAATTGAACATTTTGGAGATTATATTTCCATATTAATTAATTTTGACATGAATACATTAACTTATCATCTTCCAATGGCAATATAATGCATCCAAATGGAAGGAAAACAGTCTGTTTCAGTGCACAATGCAGGTCATAGAGAAATAACTTAATAAGTAAAACAAACAAAGGGCCTAGAAGCCACACTATCAATGCCAAATAGCAAAAAAGCCGATATTGCGCACGAAACGGACTGCCCAAATTTGGTCCGCTTCAGTGCGCAACCCTATCTAACACGTTCCTGGGCATTAAGAAGCAGCCTGCGATAGTATTTATCGATTCTAGTATACATTCTACGATACATTAGAGCTAGATTAGCTAGATGTGCTAAATAATCGACTACTCAAGCGCTTAGTAAATTGATCGATACCGGTTACGAAAACCATTAATATGAAGGGGCAAAACTTTCCGACACCGTAGAATCACGTGTGTTGACAGGAACCTCCAAAACGAAAGTGAAATAAGCTGCATTCTGCGCATGCTCACAGAAAATGACCTCGTTTTCGCTGTTCTTATCCAAAACAAAGCAGGAGACCGGGGGTTGCGCACCAAAACAGTAGCGCGGTGATGCGGGCCTACTCTAGATCTAGATCTAGATCTAGATCTAGATCTAGATCTATGCACCCACACTCAGACACAGAGATGAGATGCATTGATTTGAGTCGGAGGCCTTCATGGGACTACACGCAGGACATAAACCGAGCTACGATTGGCTGAACCTGTGGGTACTCTGGGAATTCCCGGTTTCAGTCCCGCGCCTTTGACCATCTTCTCACAGCGGGTTGAGTGCTCATGAACGAAGAAGAAGAAGGAGAATTGAGGAGGAGGAGGAGGATCCGAGGTGTAGATCTAGATGGAGGAGAAGAAATGAAGAAGAAGAATGAGGAGGAGGAGATGAAGAGGAAGGAGGAGATGAAGAAGAAGAAGGAGAGGAGGAGGAGGGAGGGAGGAGAAGAAGAAGCAGGGGGACAAGGAGGAATTAGAGGAGGAGGAGAACAAGAAGAATCTAGAGTCTAGTTGTAATACATGTTACAAATTGGGGACTTTTTCGTTCGTTACCCTACCTTGGGAAAGAGGGAGAGAGAGAGAGGGTGGTGAGAGTGACAGGGAGGGTGTTGTGTCGTCGAGAGCGCCAAGAGTAGCCTACCGTAGGCCTAATTAGTAATGTATTCACAGGTTCAGCCAATCGTAGCCCAGTTTACGCCCTGCATGTAGTCGCATGTGATTTGAGTGAGGGCTAAACTGCCATAATTTTTGCTGTAGAACACACATATATGGTCACTAACACCTTTGCAAATTAATTATTTTCAAGTAAATATCAATCCTAATTGTCAAAACATCAAATTTATTGTGAAATGCAGGGGGGCCCCCTGATCATCATCATCAATGCCTTTCACCCCTGGCAGGGTGTAGGCAGAGAGTATTTAATTATAGAGAGCGGAAACGAAGCCTCTTTTCGCGTATCCAGGTCACCAGCTGATCGTGAAAC